TCCTCGAGTTTCATTCAATTCTTCACATGTCAAAGTCTCAAACTACTTATGGCAGTACGCAGTACCTTTGTATGTAATATTTATCTTTCGGATAAGAAGGTGCACAATATCATGACCACACTAAATACCACAGGTAATGACTTTCTCTGCCTGTGAATTTCACGTGTAAACGATAATCTGACGACCAATCAGCATTGACTTCTGCTGCTTGTGTATGTTCTGGTTTCACTGGACTTCATAGCTGTGTCTCAATCCAGGGACCAGATGATTGGAGGAGCAACAATGAATTGTGGGATATGTTGGGGGTGGAGGGATCTACCTGGTGGAACGTCCTCCAAGTCTGTTTGGAGGAAGGGTGTGAACCTCTATTTAAATTTATGATCCACATTCCTCATTTGAACGCCGGCAACAGGCAGATATTTGATATCCCCCCCTCGAAAATGCATGTACCAGATAATCTTCATCTTCATCACCTTAGGTTTCTTACTCATAGTGTATATGCTATGTAATGTAGACCACAGTAAATGTTCTGCTTAATGTGTTTTCTTGTCTCAACAACCTCTCAGAGCCATGAGTCACATTCACAACTGCAGTGTTTTGTCTGAGGAAACTTAGATGGGAGGAGCTGTAGATGGAACAACTGAGCACTTAGTGGACGACCCGCTCTACCTCCCGAGCCACAGCCGCCCCACGACTCAGCAGGAAAGTAAATGCACCAGTATTAAATCCGCCTTCAAACCATCAAGTACTAACTGAGGGGCTTCTCGATAGAAATGAATCTCTTTACAAGTAATTTCTCTCGGCTGATTTCCCCATAGAGTTCAGTATAAAAAATTAATAAGGAGGAACAGCTGATAAAGGGACCCATGTATGAGGCTTCATTCCAGGAGTGTTATGGTTAGAGGATGATTTGGGGCTGCAGACTCTTTTTGATTTGCAGTAATTTAACTGACCGTTTATTCCAAGTTATGGCAATAATTAATAACAGGAAAAGGTATTGTTCCAATACTCAGATGGATATAAGTTGTTAAATTGGCTGCAGAAAATAGGATTCAAGATTCTATATGTCGTTCATTCATTAATGAAACATCTCAGTGCAGAAAGCAGCATATATCCTGTGTTACATTCAATACAAGGATAGTTCTGTGAAACCTGATTGGACGAAGTTTATTTGATGTCTGGAAAAGACAAAGCACGGTTGCCCTCAAAGGACTCTTTGCAGCCATTGCTGCCGATGTCATGAAATGCGTGAAGCTGAAAAACAGGCTCGGTTTTGGCCACTAGAGATGCGTAACAGCGTTATTGAGCACATGCGCCAATTTCTCTGTCTGGCACATACATATTGATGATCGTTTTATCAGAACTATGGTCTGCCGCTAAGTGTAGCAGTGCTGCCTTGGCTTCTTATTTGTCTGAGAGGATCCTATTCCTGGATCATTGTGCCCTGCACAAGGTTTTCATTTGTATACTCAAAGAAAAAGAAGACTCCTGCACACTGTCGCTCGATAAAGAGCGTGTGTGTGTGTCCGTTTGTCTGTGTGTCTGTGTGTGTGTTGAATGGGGGACCTACCTGGTTGCCCAGATGCAGGAGACATTAACGACAGGTTAAAACCTTGTGTCATTTGTCCCTGTTACTATGGAAGGTGCGGTGGAAGGTGCGGGCAACAGTTCAGAGAGGGGGCTCTGCCAAGCTAACGATTGATCATTGGGAGGTTAGAAGGCGGACTAGATGAGTTGTCAGAATCCTAAAGATATTCAAGTCCTCATTACCGGGGGTCACAGTGTCCATGCCCTGCACGTTCAGCCGAGTCGCTTGAGTGCTCATGCACTAACAGTCAAGCTGCACTGTAAGCAGAGCCCTCTCTCTGTCCCATTGCACTGCTTCACACTGCAGTTACTGGAATCTGGTCTTGATTGCCAGGGATTCAGCTGGAAATGCCCAACTTAGATTTTAGGTATTCTTGATTCCTTCTTCAAATTTGAAAATTGCATTTTGGCTGCAAGGACTGTGCAGCCAAGGCTCTCCAATCAGAATTTTCTTATTATTTGAATGTGAGCAAGCTGAAAAAATCATTACACTTATCCTTGTCAAAAGACAGCTTGTTAACATGTTGGTGATGGTCACTGAACGGTGGGGGAATATTTCCTGCAACCGTCTCCCAAGGCTGTCTTAAAAAACAATTTCAAGTCCCAGTGAAAGAGCCAGAAAGTTGGTCTGCACTTATAAATTATAGATTACAGTCTTGTCCTGAGCCTTCACAAGGTGAGAGCAAGGATGAGGGTGAGGACTGGGGGCTGGATGCTTTTTATTTGCTCTAGAAAATGAGGATAATGGGGCAGTATTTATAAATGTTCTATTCTCAGGGATGATACATGAAGTTGCTTATTGCAGAGGTTCCCAGAGTGGGGCCTGGATGAGCTGGAGGGGCTCCCCAGGAAAACGAGGAATAGTTTGATTCGACTATTTTAATGAGACAATGTTTGAACAAGTCTTTATTTAACCCTTCCTACTTCCCATCATATCTCCAAAATCATATTATTTATTTACAGATTTGCAATGTAAACATGAGATATTGACTCACACCATCCGGAGGGAGTGTTGGTACATGATACTCTTCATTCAGTACATCTTGTGGAATCAGGAGTTATGCATTTCACAGGTATGAAGAATAAAAAATAGAGACTGTATGGATACAAGCAGAAAGAAAAAATTGATGCATTATTGAGTATAATCCGCAGATACACGCAGGGTTCCAGAAGCATAGATACATGCATGATACATTCATACATTCATACATTATCTATACTGCTTATCTGTTTGAGGGGCTGGGGGAGCTGGAGCCAGTCCCAGCTCACATTGGACAGGTCACTGTTGCAGGGTCAACATGGAGAGACAACCATTCATACTCTCATTCACACCCCACTGTCAATTTAGAATCTCCAATTAACCGAATCCCACTGTCTTTGGACTGTGGGAGGAAGCAGGAGTACTTTACTTTACTTTACTATATATTTAAAACATACACACAGAAATTCACAAATGACTAAAATGGATAAAAATGTCAGTAATGTCATGGATACAATTAGAAATCATACTACTTATTATAATAGATATTGTTATTGGGGGCATGTACAGCTTGTCCTATAAAGAAGACACATGGAAAGATGATATTGATCACATACTTGCTGGTAAATTAGTCCAATCAGGAGGAGCTTTAAACGTAAATGCTCTCTGGGATATTGGCTGAAAGACGGCAGGAACAGAGAAGAGCTGCGTAGAGTATCTCAATAGATAATAGGAGGAGAAAGATACCATCATCTATCTTAAATACCGATGATAATGGAAATGTCCACATTTGAAAATAAGCTGCAGCCAGTGACACTGTCACCTTACAGTAGGAGAGGGCAGAGAAAGGGTTTCGTACATTATACAGTGATGTGTTGTAAATGGGCAGCCGATGACAAATCTATACAGTTGATTACAAGCTATATTTAGATTAAGATACAGTCTGATGTACATCAGCATCATCAAGAATTGTTATAACAAGTAATGTTATCGTTGTTCTGGGCCATGTATCGTAATGTTATCGTTGTTCTGGGTCATGTATCGTAATGTTATCGTTGT